TTAATTGAAGTGGCCAGTTTGAGCTTGGCTTCAGCCTTGGCTTTCCTAGGTTGCTCCTTACAGGTGTGGGCTAGTGCTGAGTACTCCTCCTTAGTGCTGTTTCCCATCTTCCATCCTTTATAAGCTTTTTTTTTTTTTAGGTTGGTCCAATAAATTATATTACCCTAAGAAATTGTCTGCCTGCAAGCACATCTAGCTAGACCTCCTTCACCTGGCAGAAAGTAGGGTGGGGAAGTTGAGGAGGAAAGGGTGCCTGAATAGGAACCATCACCCTTCCCCATCCTATCTTTTCAGTCCTGGTGCTTATTCCATACAGTAGCTACCGAAGGCTCGTCATTTGCACTGCACAGACACCAGACATCAGAGCCTCTGTTCTAGAAGGCACACAGTCAGTTTTAACATTTAAATGTGGATGCCTGAGCCAGAGCAACCCTTCCCACCAGTGATAGCATCCTGGAGACAGCACAAACATGAAGACTTTTCTTCCTCTTAGAGCCAAAAGAGCAAAAATTTTCTACAAATGGCTACAGAAAGGACCTGAATTTTTCTTGGGGTTTTCTGGGTGTGTCTGCCATCCACAGAAATTGAAGCAAGCGGGAGAGTACTTCCAGAGAAAAAGATGCTTGTAGATTGGACCTGTTGCATAGAATCATAGAAGTTAAGGGCTGGAAGGGACCTCGAAAGATCATCAAGTCCAACCCCCCTATTTTGGGCAGGAATACTGCTGAGATCATACCAGACTTCCTGTGTTAAGGAAGCTGAGGACCAGGCTCAGCCTTTTCAATAACTTTCATGGCACCTTTCCACTAACACATTGCAGCATCCTAGAAATAATTCTATAAGCATAATTTCAATTACTAAAAAGTCTTTAAGACAAACTTGAACATATGGGATGCCTATACCTGAGTGTGGAGGATGAAAGGCATACCTTCATAGTGTCATTATGCGGTTGAATTGCCAATTACCAGGCCCTCTGTTCCAGATATGCTGTCACAGGATATAATGATTCCATTTGTCTCTAGGCTGTCAAAAGAGGCCAGGAAGGAGCTGTTATGTTGTTAAGCAGGCCTTGCTTATGACCAAAACATTCTGTCAAATAGGTGTTGGATTATCTGGACATAGCAGCCGGGACTGCGGACATAGCTGTAACTTGTGTATGGAGCTTCTGTCCTTGCAAACTGCAGATATTTGTAAAGAGGCACAACAGATAACTAAGGATTGCTGTACTATTCCCTCAAGCCTTTTGGCTTTACAGTAGTGTGCTCACCATTGGGGCTATACTTCCAGGTTACAAGAAAATACTTTTCTACTGCAGGTTTTCCATTATCTCCTATCCTAGACAAAAGAAGATGAAGCAAATATATGATTGCTCAGATTCAGGATGGTAACTGTTACCTCTTTCATCTTCATCGTTTCTAGGGTCGGAAGGGACCTGAGTAGATCATCGAGTCC